ATCAAAGCTGTGTTGACTTCACAGCCTCTGCCCAGAAACCATAGAAGTCACTTCCACACATAGCTTATCGGCCAGGGCCAGAGAAGGTAATGTGGGCAGCCTGACTTGAAGGGGAAGGCAAGGGATTTTGGTGAGTGCCACACTTGTCCTCTAGGGCAGAGGATCTCATTCTGTAATACACAGAGATCCTTATAACATGCTAATTCCAACCCTGTGGGTCTGGAGAAAGTTTTGGATTCTGCGCTGTGAACAAGGGCCAGGAGGAACTCTGGAGCTTCGCTGGTCCACAGAACAAGCGGACCCCCACCCCCACCAACAGAGACAAAACTCAGCCAGCAGCTTTGCTGCAAACCAAGCGAGCTCTCCTCTCCGGGGTCAGAAGACACTGTGATTTACCTCTGAGGGTGCAGGGGACACAGAGGAATCCATAACAACAGCCATTAACTGCTTGATGAAACTGCAGTCTGGGGAGGGACAGAGCCCTAGAAATGCCACAGCCCTCCTAAGAAGCCAGACCTTCTGTTCCGAGGCTGTCATTTGCATAAGCAGGTCTTTTAAATGGACCACATTAGGTCTAATTGTGTCACCTCTTTTTCTTCTTTCCTCCCCTCCAGTCCCAAGGCTGGGAAGGGTCAGTGCCCGCTGTGACAGCACCTTGTAAGGGCACTGTCCCCTTCAAGCACTGTCCTGTCATTGTCACGCTGGTGGAGGGAGCTTCTGCTTGCTGGAACTCGGCCTTCTTGCATGTCCCAGCGGAGGTGGATTGGCTCATGGGGGACAATTCTGTTCTTCAGAGCCAGAAGCTCCTGAGCCTCTGGGGTTCCTGGGGCTGCAGAGCCACCGAGGGCAGGCAAACCTGCTTGTTCCCTGGCTCCTACCCAACCTGCTCCGCGCTGCACTAAACCAAACACTCAGGAGCCTCTGCTCAACTCGGAAGAGATGATGGTTTTCTTCCTAGTGGTTTTATTGAAAAGCTGTGACAGTTATTTCATACCCTTTCCCAGAAATTTTCATGGATGGCAATCTGGTCAGCTGGAAACTGCACATGGACAGACACTGCTGACTCGATCATTGATGTTGGCTGAATTTCTTAAGCCTGCATGGTGTGTGTGTGTGTGTGTGTGTGTGTGTGTGCACATGCTCACATGTGAGTGCACAAGTCAGAAGCACAGCATGGAGTTTGATAGAAGTGGATCTGGAAGGAACTGCAGTGGTCTGCACTCAGAAGGGAAAGATCAGGGACCACTGGAAGCCCCGCCCAATACAAGCTCTCAGTTACCCCTGGGGCAGACTGGGGAATAGCATCTGCACCTCTACCTCTAGAGAGGACCTGGAATTTCAGGCTGGGCCCTTAGAAGTCTAACCCCAGTATCCCATGGGCTTTGTGTCATAGGCTGGGCTTCTGTTCTTGGAAACAAATCTCATGCCACTAGAACGAGATGGTAAAAAAATAAATACATGTATACATTTTAGAAATCACAACACAAAAACCCAACACGTAAGCAGAATTCTTTCAGTGGGTGGAGGAGGATTCACTTGCTCCAACTTCTCATTTGCATAAATAGGAGCCTTACCAGATTAGAATCTCTCTCTCTCTCTCTCTCTCTCTCTCTCTCTGTCTCTCTCTGACTTTACCTGCTGTTTCTCATTGCTCCAAGGGCCTTCAAACTATGATCATAATTAAGGTCATCTGTCTTGAAAATGCTCCCCACTGACGGGATGAGCCTGCAGGTTTCCCCAGCCTGGGTAGAGGCAGCTGCAGGGTCTTGGCAGCCCTGACTAAGGACCTTGAATCTGGGGTTGTGATTGTACAGCAGAGGGTCGCAGAACCCTTGGGAGTTAGAAGCAGATTAGATTGTGAGTTTCCGTGGAAGAGCACCCCTGATGTTCTCTGGATTCTCAAGGGAGCCCTAGATCACCCCGCCCCAGAATGCTAAGAACCACTCGCATGCCTTTGAGTTTCTTCTTTATGACACAGTTTCTAAGAAGCGAGAGGTGCACATAGGTCAATCCACGGTGAGGGCTGACTGTGTATCACGCAGTGTCCTCAGGCACGCGTATGCACACCCATGTAGTATGTGCTAACAGGTGAGTGTGTGCACACACACCCCTAGCGCCCTGTTCTCGTGGGTGCTCACCGATTGCCCTTTGGTGCCCCCGCCTGCTCGGCTTTCCGGGTGCTGGCTTCCCACAGTGCCTGGTGGGGACAGCACGTGTGTGGGCAGAAGCACAAAGCTCACGGAACCCGGAGCTGGGCAGGTCTGCAGCCCTGTCCCTAAGCACGGAACTAGGAAGGGCACAGCCGCAGGGGCCCAGCATGGGCAGTCTTCCCGCAGGAACGGTCCTCACCCGGGAGGTGGCTTACAGGACCCTGCCAGGGGCGCAGTATCCTGGGCAGCCCCTGTGCTGTCAGGTTCCTCCCAGTCTGAGGTCTTGATGAGTGAAGTGACTGCCATCTGGTGGCAGAGGCTGGTACTGCAGGTATCCGCCAGCGACCTCTCCGCGGCTCCCCTAGGGCTCTGCCCACCAGTGGGAGCCACTTCCTGCAGCCTGATTCACAGAGCTGGAGTAGTCCTGGCACAGGACGCCCGCCGTGTTCATACAGGGACAGCCATTCCAGCCATTCGTGAAGGAAGGGAGTCAGGCGGGCAGGTGTGAGGAGGGGTCCCGGGGCTGGCCACTTTCAGGACGAGCAGATATGTGGGTGGAGACCTGGGGCCGCCTGAGGAACCTGCCCCCTCCCCGGAAGGAGGCTGGAAGAGGCTGAGGGTCACAGCGGGGAAGCGGTTGGATTCCAGACGGGAAGCCCCCATGCAAGACGGAAGGCTCCCGGGTGCAGGGGCGGTGTCACTGTGGGCAGCATGGCAGCCTAACAAACTGGGCGAGGGGCTCTGAGGTTGAGCGCCATACCCCGAGCTTCCAGGCATCCTAAAGCTGGAGCCCTCCGGATCCAGCCTTTCTTTGGTATTCGGACACAGCGGCTGGAGGGAAGCGATTCTTTCCATCAATCATGAAGTTCTTCGGTTCTCTGAACTTGCCACGGACCTCGAATGTCAATTCCTGAACTTGGTGATTTTTCTTCTTTGCAAGCTATTGGCTGTCAGGGCGGTCTGCATGCCCACAGGCCTCATGCTGGTCATTTTCTCCACAAGATTGTATTCTCACAGCCACCGTGTCCCCACAGTGACCGCAGGACTTGCATCACCACGCGTCGCCCCTGTACACTGACTCTGGGGTATATGTGTGTCGGCCATCTCCAGTCCTTATCTTGGCTGAGGTTCTGTTTCCCGAACACAATTCTGATAGCAAGTGCCAGGTCAACAAATCGACCGAGGTCTTCCGAGAAGGGTGGGCTTTTTATAAAGGGAATTTGGTGTCTCCAGGATCATTGCAAGGACTGTTAGAATGAAAGGCAGGGAAGAGCACTATTAGATTTCAGGATCCCAAGAAGTTACAGAAACCACCAGAACCCATTGTCTGGTGACCAACTGCTCACAGCTCAGGTGAAGTGACTCCAGGAGGTGGCCAGGAGCAGCTCTCTGCAGACACCTGCACCCACCTCACCCTGGCACCTTGCAGGTAACAGCCCCACTCCCCACCCCGCACCTAGCTGCCAGGTTCCACGTGGGCTTCTCTCATTGGTGGAAGCTGAAGTGGGCCACAGCCGGCAGCTGAACTTGGGAAATGAGGTCCCCAGGCATTCTGCTGCAACAGCCCCAGGGCCCGTTGAGAACCTTGGGTAAGGACCTCAGGTACCTTGGGTATCAGGCACGGCACCTGACACACACTTTTAAACATGGGTGACAATAACAGGACTTCCTTCCTAGGGCTGTTATGAGGCTAAACTTAATACGTGTGAAGTCTCCACATGGAGTGTGGCCTTTGGTCAGCCCTCAACAATCGCTAGTTTACAAAAAGAAGTTGTCAAACCGACATTCGGATGGCTCCTCATTCCCACTCTAACCCTACTAGAAAACTGGCTTCTTCCCCAGTCTGGTTCAACCGCCCACTTTGGTGAGGACACATCCCTTGCCATTCTGGGCTGCGTGGCTATAAGACTGAGAATCTGCCTCTCTCTAAGGAGACTCAGTGGAAAGTCTGAAGTTCTCAGGAGGGTCTGGAAGCAGATAACCATGCTGAGCGGTGGCCTGGGGTTTTCTGTGCCTGCCTGGCAGGGTGGAGTCCTGACTGCAGATGCACAGAGCCTGCAGCTGGGTCTCGGCTTTGGCTCCCACACTCCCAGCTTATAAGAAGCCAGAGCCAGGGTGCAGCTGCCACCCCAAAGCGGCAGGAGCACTGACCCATGGGAGCAGCCCTACTTCCTCATCCATCTCGGGGGGGCCCCAAATACCTGTGCTCCCCTCCCCCACCTCTGTTGCCATCAACACAGGCGCCACCAGGACCTAACTGGTCACGGAGGGCGGGGCGCTGACACAGGCCCACAGGCCACGTCCTCCCCCGACCTGGCTCCTTGGCCTCCTTGGATCCGAGCTCAGAGCAGACCCCACGGGACCCGCTCGCAGGACATGGAGCAGGGGCGCCGCTCCCCTCTGTGCAGCCTGGGAGTGGGCCGGGCCTGTCCCTGACTGAGGGCAGAGGGGCGGCCCCTGCCAGGCTGCAGTCCCTGCCTGTCCCTGCCCCGCTGGGTCCTGACAGGGAGCCCGTCCTTCCTCGTGGGAAGTCAGGAGTCCCCTGTGCCCGCTGTCCCACGGGGGAGGGGCTCCCAGACAACTGCAGGTCCAGCCAGGACCCCCCCACAGCCGGGCAGCAGTGGCAGCGGGTGGAGAAAAATACAGGGTCAAAACCCTGTTTCACACCCGACTTCAAGACCTGGCTCATGAAGGCCGAGAAAGAACAGTGCCCCCGCAAGTCGCCCACTGTGAAGGGCAGAGCCAGTGCACAACCTGGCCACCATCCGCTGCCCACCACGGCTGCCCGCCCTCCTCCTCCTCCGGGAGGTCCGTGTCCAGCACCAGAGCGTGAGGTCTCTCTCTCCACAGGGACTGTCGGAGCACGGCTTCGGTGGGATCACTACCGACATCCGGGAGGGACAGACTTTCTACTACGCGGAAGACTACCACCAGCAGTACCTGAGCAAGAACCCGGATGGCTACTGTGGCCTCGGGGGCACGGGGGTTTCCTGTCCCCTGGGTATTAAGAAGTAACTTCTCCTGGCACGGTAACCTCTGCAGGTTCCAGTAAAAACGCTCCCCCTAAATGGGCTGATGCTTCTGTGATTCACATCTATGGCTCTTTCAAGTGCATTGATAACAAATCGGGGTTTATTGAGGTTTAATTTTCAGGAAGTGCATTGGCAAGTTGATAAAAAGTATGTTGTCATCAGATATGTTAGGGTGGGAATAATACTGTGAAATTTTCTGAGTCACTTGGGTTCTAAACAGATTGAAAGAGTACGGTGTATTCCCCCCTGGGACCCTGGGGACTGCCATGGGAGACGGCTGGCCAGGGATGGGAGACTCGGGACCCTCCTCTGCATCCTGTCCACTTAAGTGTCACCTGCCCTTCAGTGCCTTACAACACGCACAGGTGCAGCCTGGACGAATCACTGCTCCGTGGAGCCTGGATGTGTGGAAGGGGCTTTCTCTCAGTGTTCTGTGGAGGGAGAAGTGCATTCGCTTGAGGAATTGAACTCTTTGCTTATAGCTATGGGAAATGCTTGTCCTAATAAAAATCTACAGTTCAGTGCTGCAAACTACCTGTGTCTCCTCAGTCTTTTCCTTATTTCAGAAGATCATTTATAAGTGCTGCAAAGTAAATTAGGAGCTCTAATAGAGCTTGGGAGGTAAAAAACCTCATCATCATTTCCCCAGAAATGGGAATATTATGATTGAAATGTATGGAAAATGTGCACACCTCTATCTCCTTGCAACTGTAGCAATAATAGTTGTTTTCCAGATACCTGTCACATCAAGTACGTTGAGAAAGACAGCAAACACCTTCATTCCCTGGCCTACAGAAAGTTGTATTCAAGACGGGGACTTGAAACCATAAGCCATACACATGAGAGCTGGTTTCAGGTCCTGATGGATGATACAAAGATGAATAGGACGAGGTCAGGAGCTGTGGAATTGTGTTCGAGGCCATCTCGGCCAGTGGGTCAGGGGAGGCCCCTGCCCTCTCCAGGTGGTGACTGGGGAACAGAAGGACCTCAGCTTGCAGTGACCTGCAGGTGGCAGTGTGTTAGGAGCAGACCCATGGGGGCAGGTGCTTGAAGGAAAATCTTTGCAAATAAAAGGATCTGGAAGTAGAAATGGCCCAGGTCAGGGAGGACTGGAAAACAGAAAGATCAGTGGGGACCAGGGATGCAGGAGGAGAGTCCTGGACAGAGGATTCTGCCAGGTGGGCAGATCCAGGCAGGGAGGACCTTCTTCTAAGGACAACGTATTCTGTTGAACACACAGGCAACGGGGAGAGTCCACACTTCTTCTTTAGCCTGAGCAATGGTATGGACAGTGGGAAGGAGCAGGTCTAGGGTGGAGATGAGTGAATGAAACCATTCCGTTTTCCCACAACCAACTAGAAGCCTTCTAAGGCATCCCAGTGGAGGTGTGGAAAAGGTTAGCTTGTGGTATGGGTCTGAAGTTAGTAAGCAATCTGAGAATGAAAAAACACCAGCATAGAGATGACGTCTGAGGCTGTGCAACCAGTTGAAATCACTTGGGGAGGGAAAGGAGGCTGAGGGAGGGCTGGTTCTGAGCCTGTAATCCATGGCCTCCTGACTTCCAGAGATCTGTACAGAGGAGAAGCACAGAGTCTTGGAAATGACCCCTGTGGCTGGCCCTGCAGAAACAGTGCTCTCTCAGGGAAAGGCAGGCATGTGCAGTGTCAGGAGGCAACAGCTTAGGCAACAACTGTGATCTGAGCAGAGCAAGCGAGTGACAGGGAGACCAGGTGCTCTTGGGGAAGGACCATGGAACTGTTCCTCCCCACAACCCTGAGAGCAGGGGAGCCAGCTGACCATGGACTGGAACCTCTGAGACTGAGCCAAAGTAAACCTCCTTTCACATTGTTAATATTAGGTTTTTGTCACAGCTGTGGAAAGCTAACATACTTTACTTATTGTTCTTGTGCCTTTTAATGTTTTCTCCCTTCTTTTAAAATAATGAACTTTTGTCTGATTCGCATCGCTTTTCTTTGTTGGCTTATTAGCTATACCTCTTTGTTGTAATATTTAAGTGGTTGCTTTGAGGCTTATAGTAAAGATCTTTAACTTCTCATTGCCTACTTCAATTAATATTGCCTCTTCATATACAGTAAATGCCTTAAAATTTTATTTGTGTCCCCTTCCTCCTGCTCATTATGCTATTATTATCATATTGCTTTTTCTATCCTTGTTATAGACTCCATAACATAGCTTTATCTTTGCTTTTGTCAGTTAATTTATATGGATATTCAAATAGCAAGAAGAATTACTTTTTATTTACCCCCGTCGTTAACATTTCTAGTGTTCTTAATTCTTTGATTCATATTTCCATTAGTATCCTGTTCCTTCTACTCTGAAGTTTTAACATCTCCTGTAGTGGAGTTTTGCCGGTAATGGATACTTTTTGCTTTTGTAACCCAAGAAAGTCTTGCCCCATCTTTGTTCATCTAACAGAATTTGTTGGGTACAAAATTTTAGGTTGACGACTTTTTCTTTCAATAATTTAGAGATGTTGTTCCATTGTCCTTTTTCTGTTGTTGCTTTGGTTTGCAGAGTTTCCAATGAAAAATGAGATGTGGTCCTTGTCTTCCTTCTTCTGTACATAATGCACATATTTTTAACCCATCTGACAGTTTCTGTGATTGTCTTTTAATCACTGGTTTTAAGCAACATGATTATACCTGGTAAAATTGTGTTGCCACAAAATAATACATCCAACTCCTGTCCTCTGGTACCTGTGAATGCGGCCTTATTTGGAAATAAGGTCTTTGCTGATGTAATCACATTAAAATGAGGCTCTACTGGATTAGATTGGATCCTGATCTGGTGACCGTAGAAATGAGAGAAATCTGAGAGAATGCCATGGCCTGATGGAGGTAGAAATCAGTCCAGGAACATGAAGGATTGTGGTGAACACTGGGTCTAGGAAGAGGAAGGAAGCAGCCTTGCACTGAAGCCCTCAGGGAGAGTGTGGCCCTGGGGACATCCTGATCTTGGACTTCTGGCCTCCAGAACTACGAAAGGTAGCTCTCCGTTATATAAGCACCTGGTCTAATTGCAGTCGTTCATTGCAGCAGTCCTCAGACGTGAATGCAATTATGAAACCACCTTCACGTCTTGTTCTTCGTGGTTTCTGTGCTTGGATTTTACTGGGCTTCTTGGATTTGTGTGTTTATAGTTGTTTTCAAGCTTAAAAGTTTTCTTCTATTAAATCTCCAATTTTTTTTAAAAGTCCTCTCACCTATTTTGGAGATCCCAGTTAAATGTCTCACTGACACTCTAATCATTTCCCAGCCTATTTTAAATCACTGAGTTTCAGTTTGGATAGTTTCAGCTGTTCCATTTCTATGTTTTCAAGTTTGCCAATCTTTTCTCTTTTTTTTTTCCTCATTGAGTTTATTGGTACATTTTAGGTACACAGTACAGTTACATTCATCACGGGGATCTTGTACCTTTACATGACAGGTCTTGGTTCTCATTTTTTCCCCTTGTCCCTGCCCTCCCTTCACCCCCTCCTCCCTTCCTTATTTACAAATACTTTGTTTCCATTTTTTCATTTTTTTTCTTTTCCCTATTTCCTTTCCCCTACCCTTCCTACTTCCCCCTTTAGTGCTTTACTTCCTATTTCACATTGTCGATTATATCATTAGGATCTTATGTACCATTATAGTTTTTCACACAAGAGAAACTATTCAGTATTTATATGTGTGACTTATTTATTTCACTTAGGAGTATATCCTCAATATGTATCCATTTTCCTATGAATGAATCTAATTTCTCATTCTTTATGACTGAGTAGTATTCCATTTTATAGACAAACCACGTCTTCTTTATCCAGTTTCCAACTGATGGGCAAATGTGTTGTTTCCAAGTCTTAGCTATTACAAACTGTGCCGCTATAAACATGGGTGTGCATATATCACTGTGATATGATTCTTTTAGTTCTTTTGGAAAGATACCCAGCACAGGGATGTCTGGGTCAAGTGGAACCTCTAGTCCCAGCTCTTTGAGGTGTCTCCATATTGATTTCCATAGTGGTTGCACCAGTCTGCACTCCCACCAACAATGGAGAAGGGTTCCTTTCTCCCCACATCCCGCCAACATTTGTTATTGTGTGATTTCTTGATAGCAGCCATTCTTTTTGGGATGAGGTAGAATCTCAGTGTTGTTTTCATCTGCATCTCTTGAATGACCAGAGATGTGGAACATTTTTTCATATATTTATTTGCTTTTACTTCTTTGTATGAGAAATGTCTGTTCATTTCAGATGTCCATTTTTGAATTGGGTCTTTATATTTGGGGGGGGCTGATTTTTTTTAGTTCTTTACATATTCTAGATAATAGTCCTTTGTCTGAGGAGCAGCTGGTAAAAATTTTTTCCCATACTATAGGTTGTCTTTTAGTTCTGTTGGTGGTTTCTTTTGTGGTGCAGAAGCTTTTTAATAAGATGAGGTCCCAGTTTTTGATTCTTTGCTAGTTTTCCTTAGTTCTGTTGGTGGTTTCTTTTGTGGTGCAGAAGCTTTTTAATAAGATGAGGTCCCAGTTTTTGATTCTTTGTGCTAGTTCCTGTGTTACTGAGGATTTGTTCATAAAGTCTTTTCCTATGCCAATGTCTTCAAGAGTTCTGCCTAACTTATCTTTCAGCAAATTTAGTGACTCCTTTTTAATATTTAGATCTTTAATCCACTTGGATTTTAGTTTACTGCATGGTGAAGATAAGGGTTGCCAATCTTTTCTTTTGCAATGTTTAATCTGTCATTAGTGTCAACCAATTTTTTTATCTTTGACACTGGTTTTCATCACTGGTTTTCATCTCTTGATACTCTTTTCATTTCTTGATATTCGATTAGAAGCTTTGACTCACTTGTTCAATCTTTCCTCCTGCCTTTTGAGTATAGAAGTCCACTTAGAGCAACTGTTTGAGTGTCCTCAACTGCTAACTACTGTCAATGTCATTTCTGGGTCTCTTTGATTGACTGACGGTTTCCATTATGGGTCTTCTTTTATCACCTTCTTTGTGTGGCTAGTAGTTTTTGACTGGACATGTGAGACGTTGTAATGTGAATTTTACTTTTGGAGACTCAGGATATTTCTGTACGCCGGTAAGCATTCCGCGTTTCAGTATCTATTCTGCAACACAGGAGTTGCTTCAAAACCATTCGAGCATTTCAGGACTTGCTTTTAAGCTTTCTGGTGGGACTGATACTCCGCACTGTACACCATGCCCTGTGAGTCGAGAGGATTTCCACGGTGGTTGGGGAGAACAGAAACTGTCCCTAGCCCTGGGGGAGCTCTGAGGCTTGCTCCCTCTGAGCCTTCGAAACAAAGCCCCAGACTGTGGGGGAATCGTGGATGCGAGTCCTCCTTATGCACTGGCTAGCAAAGGCGCAGTGGAGGTGGGACCTTCAGGGGAGTCACACAATGGTTTTAATTTCTTTCACGATTGAAAGGGGGAGAGATGCTAATGTGTACAGCAATGCAGTTGTGAAACGTGTGACTGTGGATGAAGCGGCCCGCAGAATCGCAGCATGGACTTGCCTGCCGACAGGTGG